CCCACACTGCACTTCTTACTCTTGTCTTCCTCTGTGCATCCATCTGCAATAAGGGTAATATAAAGAATGAGTTAAAAGTGGGGCCACTGTATGCTTCATGATTAAGCCTATGAGTACTGTACTACAGCTAAACAGCTTGGGGAAATGTAAGTATTTGGCTTCAATAATTTACATGTTATAAATGTATGTGTAATAGCATAACCTCTCATAATTCCTATAAAACATAACATACAATAGTAGAGGTGACTATTTCATTCATCTAATGCACATCAATGGATTAACTTTTAAAAAATGAATATTTCATCTTGCATGTAATATCTGATAAAGCAGCGTTTGTGAGTGGAGAGCTGCTTTGTGTACAGCCGTTACCGGGGGAACCTCTATATCTACCACTCCAACAGTGCCTTCTGCTGGCAGAAAATGAATTTGCATATATGCCGCCACAAATAGAGTGTAAGTCTGTGGGAAACACTGCAGTTTTACTCAAATGAAACTGTCAAATGATCATGAAGTGACTCTCAGAGGGAGTCAGAGCAGTTCTGGAGATGTTGTTCATGTATTTATGTCCTCATGTAGTGAGACGACAGAAGCTGTCACCGCGAGCGTCACACTTTGTATGTGTAGAAAACAAAACCGCGCGTCTGTGCCATTTACATACACAGAGACACGCAGAACATGCAGGATTCATATTTAAATAGTATTTTTGCGGCTTAATATTTACAGATACTAGTCCATATCGCGACTCTATATAAGTGTACTGACCTATTTTTGATTCATCCAAACTTTGACAAATTCCGTGTCATACAGTAAATTCCATTTATATGACTGGATTCCGCAATTCCATCCACATTTTCTGCATCGCGAAAATCATCGATAATATTGAGGTGTTTTGCAACTTCACTGTAACGTTAGTGGATTGTGGTTTATTGCAACGTCTGCTGCTGCCTCACTTTTGAGAGACAACTGATGCATCACTGAAGCAGCTCTTTGTGGATGTTAGAGTTAAATAAGACCTGGCATGTTGTTGTTGCAGTGTTTCGTGAGGTTCACCCGCTGATGTTTGTGAGTCATCAGATTACTCGCTGTCACTGGTGTGACTAGAGATTGATTAATCAGACACAAACGGTCCAGAGCGCACACATGGACAGAGGCCGAGGCCGCCGCTTGTTTGTTGCTCATTAACTGATTCCTTTCGACCCAGGATTTCTGTTGGTTTTATATCCTTAACTGATGCCTTGTTTTTTTAGCTTTCATCTCTTTTTTTTTTTATTTATTTATTTTTTTTTTCTTCTTGAGCTTCTCGATGCTGTCAGTCTATTTAAATAAATGAACATAATCATTTGCTCACCCCCTTATGTTGTGTTATGGGCCCTTTCGATTTGTTTTTACAAAAGGAGAAATTCAGAAAACGTGCCTATTAACCTTCATTGTAGCAACAGTTCAGCCTCTTAAATGTGAACTACAGCCACTTCAATTCTTTGTGTCCTTTTAAAATAAAATTGTATGTACACATTTTGCTTGTGAATTGATAAATGTTTTATTTCTTATATATTTAAGTAATTTGACCAATATCAAAAAATCAGCTTGAAATGGAATAAAGAGTATGTTCTCAAAACGAAATATCTCCCTTTGGAGTGGACTTTGAGATTTGTAACTTTCTAGATCTTTTTTATGCCCAAACATACACACTACACACTGACTAAAATTAAAAAAGTGAAAAAGCATAATAGGACCCCTTTAAGACTTTGTGTCACATGTATTTTGTGCTAGGTTCGTCGGTTGTGTCTTCATTCAGCTCTCAAGGCCGAGCACCTCAAACACTCTTAAAATAATAATAATAATAAAAATCTACATAAAGTCATTCGGGTGAGTAAATGATATTCTCACATTGGCTTTGATGGTCCTCAGCAGTGAACCATGCTGTTTCTGTATAAACTGAAAACAGAATGTAAGTCTTTTTGCTGTTTGTCATATCATAATCTCAGTTTTTTTTTAAATCATACTTGTCTTTTAAATAACCTGAGCCAAGACAAAAGGCCCTACCGATTCATTTCATTAGGTTGGCTCAGATTTCTCCATTTTAATTCGTCGCTCATCAGCAGTTCTCAGCTGATGCAGTCTCCTCATCAAATCCACAGTGAAGAAATCAAATGGCCGTTAGTTTTGTTTCAGTTCTATAAATGTACAATAGGTGTTTGATTATCTCTCGTACTGTGTTTTGGCATGTGAACCGTCAGCTACATGAAGCCCAGGCCTGTGTGCGTCTCTGCCTGCGTTGAGCTAATTGTTCTGTTTCAGGAATACTGAATCATGCCTCTGTTTGTCCTTGTGTCCTTCCCTCCGAGCGAGAGTGATCAGAAGGTTGAAGCGGCAGGGGTGGAGAGAGGAAATGATCCACACTGAGCATAGATCTGTTTTTACTTCAGTTTGAGCTTCAGGATGAAACATCCTTAAATGTGGATGAAGATGAGACTTGAATAATGCACATTTGATGAAATATGTTGGCATAACATGCAATGGGCAGTGTTGCATAGAAAGACCAAGAACATGCATTTAGGGTAAATATTGGTGTCAAAGCTTTCTACTTTCTTTAAACTGTGCATGTTGAACATAGGAAATAGATTTGGAATATAGATATTTTTAACTCCAGTTTGAGTTTAAAACATCTAAACTTAAGCATGCATGAAGATGAGTCTTGAATAATGAATATTTGAATGAAGACAAACATTATTTGTCTTTGGCATAAGCAATGATCAGTCTTGCACAATAAGACCAAAAACATGCATTTGGTGTCAAAGCTTTCTGCTTTCTTAAAGGGGGCATATGATGTTGCTAAAAAGAACATTATTTTGTGTATTTGGTGTAATGAAATGTGTTTATGCGGTTTAAGGTTCAAAAAACGCATTTTTTTCCACATACTGTATATTATTGTTTCTCCTCTATGCCCTGCCTTTCTGAAACGCGTCGATTTTTACAAAACTCATCGGTCTGAAAAAGCGAGGTGAGCTGTGATTGGCCAGCTATCCAGTGCAGCATTGTGATTGGCCGAATGCCTCAAGCGTGTGACGGAAATGTTATGCCCCTTACCATATTGTGATGCCTGCGGCAACCACATGTGACGACCCTGGGCTGGACTCCGCTTTGTCCACGGTGAAAGCCGATCTGGCGATCG